CCCCCCACTGCAAGGGTTAAGTGCCTTTTTTTTGTCTAAATGCTAAAATAAAAAAGTTATACTCACCCGGAGCTGGCTGGATGTCAGATTGATTCCCGAAGTCTCTCTCCCCCTCCGCTCCAGAGGTCTAAGGACCTGTGAGTCATCAGGTCCAGTATACTGTGTATTGGACGTGAGGACGCCGAGGGACGTTTCATCGCTGCACCAGAGGAGGAGACACGCAGGAGGGAGCACTCTAACAGCCAACAGGCAGCGAGATTCTGGTGAGTATAACTTTGCTATTTTCATCCCTAGATGAAAACGAGCACTTAACAATTGCAGTGCGGGGGTACTCACTGCATGGAATAAGATTTTTTTTTCCCTGTTCTTCTTTAAACTTTCCACATTAATCAGCGGCTAATACTGTACAATATTCTACTACTACAATGGATTCCATAAAAACGCTCAAGTCTGAAACCGCTACTTGGAAAGTATGGGGCCAAAACATGCCATTCTGCCCCAAATAGGCTCATGTACTTTTTCAAGCTGTGTGAAAGGACAACATTGAAAATTATGGGATTGTTTACATTGAAGGTTTTCATGCTTCAGAAAAAACTTAGGTGTGAACAGGGACCTTATGGGGCCTCTCTACTTCCTCATTTCTCTCCTTATACTTCTCAGCTCCTTTAACAGCACAATCAATAACACCGACCCATTTACCTTCCCCTTTTACATTAGTCGCTCCATTCTCACTGAGGCCCCCACTTGTCACGGCGAATCCTGCAGCCTCTGTTTATTTACACCTTTCCTGACTTCCTCTGGGCGCCGCCATCTTCCCAACAAATCACATGACCGAACCCTCTCTGATCACATGGCGAGGTGGGTGACGTCACAGCAGGGCGGCTATGCGTGCAGTGGTTGGGTGTTGAGCGGTGGGCGGGGAGGGGAATGGAGTTGCTGTCCGGGTTGTTGGCTGCTCTTCGCGGGGGATCCAGAGGACGAGGCCGGGTCATGGAAGAGCGAGCCCTGGAAGTGTACGGTAAGAGCTGTCAGGGTGTGTCACCGGAGGGGGCGTGGCTTCCCCGGTCTCTGGGCCTGTCCTTCGTCATGTGACTTGACATTTTATTCTGAGAAACTTGGATCGAACGGGGTCGTGTGTGACCTGCTGCGCCGGGCTGTCAGTCTTAAAGGCGCAGTCCACCTTTGGAAAAACAAATAAATGCTCTCACATTAATGAAAGGAAAAAAATCTGCAGTTATTATTATTATTTTCATTTGAGTCATTGCAGTCACATTCAGTGGACCATGGGTGCAATGCTCAGGTCCTGGCAGACAATTCCTCCAGCCCCAGGTACAGCGGTAGGGATGTGGGGTTGGAGGAAATAATCAAGGATTACAAGTGCGGCCACATCACCTAACATGTGCTCTATTGAGATCTATGAGCCCCTCTGCCGCTGTGGCCAATGGGAATTGTAGTCTTTTCATATACAGGTTCTTGTGAATGGATCTATGGCTGTGTGGACGGAGTCATGCATAGCCGTGCCACATTCAAATGTATACCAAAGACAGTGAGGAGTAGAACCCTGCGATTCAGGTAAGTGCGGTTGAGGAATGTTTTGTATTATGCCCTAAATATGGGTGTAACATGAAACGTGGCCTGAAAGGTGAACTTGGCCTTTAACCTCCCTGGCGGTATGATTATTTTGATTTTCGTAATTTTTTCGGATTTTTTTCGTTATTTCATTTCTTCGTTTTTCCCGGGTTTTTTTTTAATTTCCCGCCTGTTCCGCCCCCATGCGACGCGTCAGCTTGCAAGGGATGGAACACGGAAGACAGATGCCGGCGCCGGCCGGAGGACACCGCACGGCTCGAGGGACAAGGTAAGTAAATAATGTGGGATATTCCCGAGTGTAGCTCAGGGTATGGAAAAGTAACCCTGAGCTACACTCGGGAATACCGCCAAGGAGGTTAAGGTGGCCACATATGCATTGATATGATCATTTAAAAGATTTATTGCCGTGAGATACTGAGAGCGCCGCAGCCAGGACGGATCCCGTCAATGCTGTCTGTATTCACCCAGCTGCGTGAGTGACAGCTGGCTCTGCCTATCTAGAGGAAGAGCCAGCTGTGCCCGCCCCCTCCTCGTCCGTTCCGCCAGTCAGCACTGGAGGATCGGAGAGGGGAATCCCTGCAGGGAGCGGTGACTGACACTCTAAGGCCTTGTTCCCACCAAATGCAGAGCACATCCGGTCAGGTTTCTGCACACGCAGTGCAGTGGGGTGTGCCGCGTTTTTGATGCGTTCCGGGACGGTTTTGGTAAATATACTGTATGTATTCAATATGTTAGTGGAGGAGGAATAGCTTTTTTTCCCCCAATCACTCATTCATAGATTGATCACTAATCATATGTGTATGACCACCTTTAACTACTTCACATTGTCACCTATGTTATGTTTTTGGGGGAACAATATCTTGAAGCCCAGTTTGGGCAAAAGAAAATAAAAAATTTCCTGCAATAAAATGAATCGCCGGCTGCCATAGACACCCAACGTTGTCTCCCAAAGACTGACATGTACACTGATTCAGCACCAGTCCTCCTAGTTGAATGACGCCCATTGTCCTTCAACCCCCTTCCTGGGAGCCTAGGGTGTCAAGGCTCCGCCTCTCACTCTGGACTAACAGGGGAATACTGCAGAGAGCGGCACCTCATCATCACCTGGAGCTGTTCTCTTCGGCAATTAGCCTCCGCCCACTGCCAGAGGGTGAAGCGGATCCTTATGTCACCAGACGAAAGATTATTGGAAAAAATGTTATCTGAAACTAGATCTTTTGTTCTCTGACGTCCCATCGCAGATCAGCAAGACAGGTTTTTTTCCTTTCAGTAGTTTGTAGAACCGGCTTTGCCAATTGTACACTAAACCAGATTTGACAGCAAATGTTTGCACAAGTTCAGCCTCATTTCAGATGAAAAGTGAATGCGTCCATCCGTGAATGCATTTATCGCAGCCATCACCACTAAAACATTTCTAGTATTATATAAAAAGAACAGAAGGATCATCTATATTCACAATTTACATGTTTACATGTATGATCTAGAACTAATCAAAGTACATAGTAAAAATAATATTGTTACATTGTATTTATGAATGAAGTCTGCAAACAGTGTTTGCGGACTTTGTTGATGCAAGAGCCATTGTCAGCTGTACTGATACACAGAGGAGGACCTGACTGGTCCCGGGGATTTCACTGAGCTGAGCAGTCACGGCAAGGGAGGAAGCCCTGGGTATATGGGGTATGCCCAAGACTGTTGACTAGCTTTAAAGTGGAACTACAACTTCCTATTTCTTATAGTTAAGGAAGGTGCCATCTTAGTGGATCACATGTGCATTACCACGGCAACTGCAATCCAAATGGAGGCTATGACACCAGCCATTTGAGGACTTGAAAGTTCGGTTGAGCGCTGAAATAAGCACACTGGCAACTTTGACAGTTGGCACGCCTTTAAGCCCCGTTCACATTAAGCGATTTATCGCGCGGTAATTCCCGCGATATCGCGGCAAATTACCGTGCGATATCGCGCTCCAATGCATTTCAATGGGGCAAAGGGTCCTGCTGTCGCGGGTCGTGTGTCTCTACAGCAGGACCCTTTTTGGAGCGGATTTAGCCGCGATTGAAGCTTGCTCAATGCAAGCTTGAACGCGACAAACGCGCGATTTGCATATCGCGCAGAGGGAACGGGGCCTAAAAGTAACTGTTTTGGTTGAGATTACATTGCTGGGTAAAGCTCCTCTCTAGGGGTATATGTGAGGCTGCTATAATATGGAAGTTGCCATTGCTGCCTGTTTCTGTTTTGCAGATCTTAGGCTTCCCCTTTATTTAAAGGGATCTTGTAAGAAAAGAAGCATGGGAGCTGCCATTTCTGAGTTGTATTTAAAGGTCAAGTCTTGGGGCTGTCATCCTGACTCGGACTTGTCAAGTGAGACACATACCCAGAATGAACATGCAGGATGTACTTGTCAGCCAGCTGTATGCTTGATGTTCATCAATGTCAGGATTAGTATGACGGCCACTGAACCCATCCATGGACCATACTGGGCAAAGGAGCAGCTCATTTTACTATAGGGATGCTGGCCATACACTGGTGGAAGTTTCGCCCAGTCAGGAAGTGTGTAGCCCTGATGGGAACCCTCCCTCCTCCGTGTTCAACAATTAACAAAAGTTGATTTTTTTAACAGAGGGATGGATAATGTTATGATCTTCACCTCTTCCAATCGGAGAACATCTCATATCCATAGAAAAAAATATAAGGCTCTCCCTGAATGGTGGTAGCGCCCAGTGAGCAACTCCCTTTTCTCAGGGTGCAGAGGTCAAACTGCAGCGGGAAAAAACAGGGCTGACTTCATACTTTTATAAAACAATAACTCGACTTAATTATGACACCCCACCCCCCGATCTATATGAGCAAATGGAATTCAAACGCAAACTTACTCCCGATGAAACAAATTTAATATGATCCTTAGCGACCTCTTCCTCTATTGATGTCCCCATGTTGATTAAATGAATATCCAGATGATATAATGTCCCTACTAAAATACTTAAATATAATAGTCACTATGATCCTAACTGCTGGCGATTTATGTGGATCTCCAGGTACTTTCAACCACATATGGTGGGATTGTCCTTTGATTAAACCTCTTTGGAATTCGGGCACTTCTAATATTCACAAAATATGTGGCATACGGCTACCCTTAGACCCTTGGATATGCCTATTTTATCTTACCTCCAACTCGCCTAGTAAATATCGGAAATCTTTGGTTTCCTTTATGCTTAACACTGCTAAGTCACTGATACCCATATATTGGAGGACAACTTGAATACCCTCAATATCCGACTGATTTATAAAATTAGACTCTACTAGACTTCTAGAAGAATTGTTGTATTCTAATCAGGATAATTATGTCTCTTTCTATAAAATCTGGGCAAGCTGGTTGAACTTTAAGACCTCAGATTCATACTGTATTCATTTATTGATCCAATGAATTTTCATTTACTTTTAAATTGTATCATAAGATGCAATACATCTTAGTTCTCACTTATTTAATGGGTAACATCCATGTACTTTATGATTTCACTAAGGCCCCATTCACACTAAGCGACACTTACCTCGAGCGAATCCGTGAGGCCGGATATAGTGCGACTGTTTGGGGCGACGTTCCAACGATGATCGCGCGACCTTCACCGTTGGGCTGCATGCAAAAATAGAAAAATCGTGCGACATCTGCGGGAAAAAGGGTCCCGTACACGCGATGAGCGACATGGAGCTGTTCAATAGAACAGCTCCATTGAAAATCATTGGACCGCAACTTCTCGCAATATCGCGTGGCAAATTTGCGCGATATCGCGGCAGAAATCACGCGATTAAACGCCCAGTGTGATTGGGCACTAAGTTCTAATTGTCTTCCTTCCCTTTTGTTCCAATTCTTAATATTTTTCTTATATTATTGGACATGAGTGTTCTTATGTCATACATGCCTTTTTCAATAATTGTCTAATAATCTTTGAATATCTTTATGTGATTTATGTTCCGTTTATTCGTTCAAATTAATAAAACTTAAAAAAAAAACCAAGGCTGACTGTATGCCATGCAGATTAATAAAGTGATTTCTAGCGTCCCCAGCATCCATCCGGAGATAAGATATGGATACTTACATTGAACCATGCTGGACCAATTGCTGGAGTTCAGCTGTAAGAAGGGGATAGTTTCTGAATTTCCTCATGACTAAAATTTTTTGCCAGAGATGAATGTTGAAATCGCAATCTTCCAGCTATCAATGTTGTTACCTTCATTATCCATAAAAAAAATTAAAAATGCATCCGCCCTCTGGGAAGTTTTCATGTTTTATTGTCATTGAACATGGCAGCACAGTGGGTTTTAGTTTTGTTTTTAGACAACTGATTAACAGAAATGCACATTCTCATATTTCCATGGTGCTGGTTGTTGGGGCTGAAGAGAAATACTCTGTTCTTCTGGGTATGTCACTCCCCCCTCCCCACATGACAGTGCCAGTGCTTGCTTATTCGTCCTTCAGGCACCCTGTACTGTCATGTGGGTGCAGACAAGGGAGTCTTCATCCCTGGGTGTGCCCCAGTTGAAGCTTATACAAGACTAAGGCTTGGCCATACACTGTTAGAATTTCAGCCAATTCACAGAAGTTGGCCGATTTTCTTTCAGTGGGTGGCCCTCTCTCACACAACATTTGTCAAAGCAGCCAGACTGAAAATGATCACCCGAAAAGTGATTCCATCCAATCAGCTGCAGTCACTGTTAATGTATTTTGACAACAGGGAACATCGGCTGTCAGAATGCAACAGTTGCAGGAGGAGATTTGTCCACCCGTGCTGTTTATCATGGATGGAGAAAATCGTTAGAATAAAATCTATTAGTGTATGGCCAGTTTAACACTCTTTACTACTAGCAGATGTACAAAGTATTGGGGGGACAAGAGAAAGGTGAGTTTGTAGCTGTAGAGAGAGTTTCCATGGGCAAAGGGCTATTTGCTTCAAAGTGCACATATGCTCTGTTCATGTATGGCAATGCAACAGGTTCACTATAATGCCCCCTCAGCACTTGTTCCCATCCACAGACATAACGGATGAGAGCAAAAGCTGCTGTTTTTTGTTGCAGACTGCCTGTAAGTAAATGGACAGTTGGCAATCGTAACCAGTCACATGCTTGTCCATACCCAGAAGTGCTGGGTGAATCGCTTTGCTTCCCAGGGTGAGCAGAGCTGCGGGATTGTGAATGGAAAGTCAACATGTGCAGCTGCGGGGCCCAGCATTTTCTTTGCTATGAATGGTCACAGAACAATTTCACTTTGCAATAAACATAGACGTAAGATTATAATTTCTGAATTCGGACAGTTTCATCCAGATCAGGTATAACATTTGCTGCCAATGTCTAGGTTCTGACAGCTGATGGCATTAACAAATATGGCTACTCATCAAATACTAATGCTGTCCTTAACTTTTACATAGAGAGCAGGAACTTGGGAAACCCCACTGTGCCCCTGTACAGAGCAGGATTTGGGTGAACCTCACTGTGCCCCTGCACAGAGCAGGAAGTGAGTAAACCCCACTGTGCGCCTGTACAGAGCAGGAAGTGAGTAAACCTCACTGTGCCCTTGTACAGAGCAGGAAGTGAGTAAACCCCACTGTGTCCCTGTACAGAGCAGGAAGTGAGTAAACCCCACTGTGCCCCTGTACAGAGCAGGAAGTGAGTAAACCCCACTGTGCCCCTGTGCAGAGCAGGAAGTGAGTAAACCCCACTGTGCCCCTGTACAGAGCAGGAAGTGAGTAAACCCCACTGTGCCCCTGTACAGAGCAGGAAGTGAGTAAACCCCACTGTGCCCCTGTACAGAGCAGGAAGTGAGTAAACCCCACTGTGCCCCTGTACAGAGCAGGAAGTGAGTAAACCCCACTGTGCCCCTGTACAGAGCAGGAAGTGAGTAAACCCCACTGTGCCACTGTACAGAGCAGGATGTGGGTGAACCCCACTGTGCCCCTGTACAGAGCATCAAGTGAGTAAACCCCACTGTGCCCAGGTACAGAGCAGGAACTGAGTAACCCGACTGTGCCCCTGTTCGTGCATAGTCACGTAGCACTCTGTCTTTAAGGTTTCGAAAACTGACATTGAATAAAGCTGTGTGATTTCTTTATTTTCCACAGATATAATCCGGAATATACGGGATCCAGAGAAGCCCGATACGTTAGAAGACCTTGATGTTGTTTCAGAGAGTTGTGTGACAGTGGAGGAACTGGATGACGACTGCTTCCTGGTGATCATAAAGTTTACCCCTACAGTTCCACACTGCTCTTTGGCCACACTTATTGGTAGGTCACAGATAGAAAAATGCTTTTTTATGTTTGTAATCCTAAAGCTGATCTTGGGGCAAAGAGGAAAAAAACCAATCTTTCCCACTCCAATCACCCTCCATGTCTTTATGTTAAAAAAAAAAAAAAACTTAGAGTAGAACTGAAGCCAATCTTTTTTTAGTTTTGGATAGAGTAAGGGTTTTTTTCTGCCATCTGGAGAGATCTCTTTTCACTTCCTGCCTGATACCCACAACAGGAATTGAGAGGAAATCCCTGGTGGTCATCAGAACTAATGCCCCATTGGAAGATTTCCCACGTATTCCTGCTCTGGTGACAACCCAAAATATTGGATTTTCTTAAACTTTCCCTTTCAGTCAAAACATTCACAAGGACAAATTTATAGCACTTGCATAAATTTTTTTTACATCTGACATTATTTTATTAAAAGAGAACTAAAGACAAACCTTGTTTTGATTTTACTTCTTCTCTTTTGGGTCACAGGAATATATTTGCTAATGTACTCCTGGGACCAAAAGTCCGCATATAGCATGCTAATGCTTCAGCAGTGTGCCATACTATGCAAACTGCTGGAGCTGGCACAATGCACTAGCCCGTGGGCTAAAATGCAGTGTTTAAACGGACGGGTTAGTGTGAACCTTAGGGCCTTAGTTTGATAAAGTGCTGGCAAGACTCAATAGCTACAGAACAGAAAAAGTAAGAAACTGCAATACGGTTTATAAGATCCTCACAATGTAAATGGTTCAGTAAGAGGAATTGTAATCTCCAAATAAATTAAATTGCATTTAAATCTGTTATTTATTACATCACAGAGAAATTCATTCATTGTCAGAGACAGGAAGTGAGGGGAAACCTCTACAAGGGGGGCAAAAAAAACCCCCACATGGGACCAAGTAAACCAAAAATGTACTATTTACCACAGGGAACGCTGCTTTTTCTTTATTTGGGTGTGCCAAATAATTTAGTTTAAAGGTTTTGAAAACAAACATGCGACTAGTGCTCCAACTGTAAAAGAAATTGAGAATTTTCACACAAAAAGTCTCACAATCTGCGCCAAATATATAATGGCTCAGAAAATGAATATGTGAACATTTGGTGTGCAGTAGGGTGCCAAAAGTATGATGGTGCAAGACAGGTGCACATTCTTCTATGTGACAAATAAACTAGATGGGCTCAGACATTTTTTTTATTTGAGCCAAAATAAAATGTGTGTGTAACCATTCACATTCCTCATGTATCATATACATGTATATTTTTTTCTTATTTCAACCCGGGGGCCTGAACGAATAAAATATAACAGACTCCTCCATTAATACCTATGGGCGTTGATTGAGGAATCTCCTGCTGTTTCTATTGTGTTCTGAAAGAGGCCGCCAGTGGCTATCACAATACCCGAACAGCTGATTGGCTGCAAGCTCCATTCCAGCAAGAATTTTCCGACCGTCTCCTTCAGTCAGCTGATGGAAGGATGCCAGCAGAAAGGATGTCGACAGTGGCACCCACTGTGCGACTTTCAGGCGATTCATCAGTGTACCCAGCTGTAGTTTATCTGGTCTATAGAGTAGGGAAAGATTGGAACCTTCTATCCCTGTGACAAGCCCCGCATTTTTCCCATTTTTGCCTTCGTGTCAAAGGGACAGGACTGACGGGAAATCCCTATGGGATCATAGATGGCAATAAAAACCCGACAGAAGTGCTGTTGCTATTGAAAAAGTAAATTAAAAAAATATTTTAATTGATATTTGAGTAATGGAATAGTAAATGTAAAAAATAATAAGAAAATAAAATGATTGGAGTTGCTAATTATTTTTGTGCTGACTGGAGCATATCTCTAGTAATACTGTACATTTGTGTCCACAATTCAGACAAATTGACTTCCATTCTACTTGCCCCATAGCATTGTTTATAATTCTCTTGATGTAAAATATGCGGGTTCTAAAGAGGTGCTTTGTTGCTGCATTAGATGATTCACACGATCCTTCACGGTAGTCTGTCTCTTCCTGCACAGGTCTGTGTTTGAGGGTCAAGCTGCAAAGATGTTTGTCTTTTAAGCATAAGGTAAGGCGTGGTGATTTTCCTATGGTGAGGTCTCTATTTTAATTTATTTATTATTACAGGTATTTTTATATAGCGCTGACAATTTACGCAGCGCTTTACATAGTTGCACATTCACATCAGTCTCTACCCTCAAGGAGCTTACAATCTAAGGTCCCTATTTCACATGCATGCATACATACAAAGCCAATTTAGACAGGAGCTAATACCTAGACTTAATGTGCAATTAACCTTCCAGCATGTGTCTGGACTGTGGGAGGAACACGAAGTACCTGGAGGAAACCCACACAAAGGGAGAACATGCAAACTCCAAGATAGTGTCCTGACCGGGATTTGAACTGGGGACCCTGAGTTCTGCAAGTGCCAACCACATTGCCACTGTGATACCTCTGTGGTGATGCCTCTGTGGTGATGCCTCTGTGGTGATGCCTCTGTGGTGATGCCTCTGTGGTGATGCCTTTATGGTGATACCTCTGTGGTGATGCCTCTATAGTGTATCCTCTTTCAGTAAGAAGATTCTGCTTACTTTATGGAGTTGTTTGTCACAATGGCTTCAATCATTAGAGCCGGAAAGAATAGTGACCTGTGTCAGGTTTTTCTTTTTCAAAGATAGCTTATTTATGAGAGTTTAGTTATATCTCTTCTACATAATAAGAAGATTAACAAATATGTTTAAAGGGTCATTTACACAAGCCATCGGTGATTGGGTGGCCATGAACATTCCCATTTGGCTTAGAAGCAGTCCAATTTGGAAGTTGATTACTTCTGACAATTTTAAACATTTATTGTGGCTCACGTATATTTTTCACCTTGATTTGGATAACGAGAGGATGTGAATCTCGCCCCTTGTCCTATATGCCAGTGATGGTCCTTTGTTCATGCACCCAGTGTTTTCACAACTTGGAGCTTACACAAGGCTTCCTTTCATCCTTCCAAGTCGCAGGATGGCAGAGGTGTTAAGGTAAGCTGAGTATGTGCTGGTGGGGAGGGTGTGCAAGAGAACCTGTTGCATGGCCCTGCACAGGCGAAAGCACAGGTCCACATTACATCTGCACTGGGAAAATTACAGTTGGGGTCTGATGCTTTGCTCTAGAAAAATGCAGACCCTTTTTCATTTAGAAGCTTTGTCCACTCCAGAAGCAGACTCTCCATGTATTCCTATGGAGAATCCACTGTTTGGGAAAGAAGGATAAATGCAAATGGTACTGTCTGAGTTATGGTACTCTCCCTTGCATGACCAAAGATTGTAAGGTGCCCATAGACATTAGATGACAGTTTCCAGATTTTGATGTTTTCAGCTGAATTGAGTGTCAATCTAATATCAGTGGTATAACCTCAAACACCACCAGCTAAGGCTCATCGGGGGAATCAGAAAGGTTGGAAAACCTATTCTATTCATTATTGTAGTGACACTACACCTTAAGCTGGCCATACACCTTACAATTATCTGCAGATTTTCTGTGGTCAGATGGAAAAAGTGCAACAGATTCCTCCATCTATGCTAAGCTGTGTGGATGAACAACCTATTTGGATGCAGGCATTGTTCAGGTGTTTTGCGAGCCAGCGGGGCCGATTAGCACGATTACGGAAGCTTGGCCCAGGTGGAGATTACTCCATCCACACAGTTTAGCGTAGATGGAGGAATCTGTTGCACCTTTTCCATCTGACCACAGAAAATCTGCAGATGATTGTAAGGTGTATGGCCAGCTTGAACATGAACAATCAACTGATGTGTGTTTAGGGAAGTGCTGAAGGGGTAAAGTATTCCAGCTCATTTCTCTATACCTAGACTTAATGTGCAATTAACCCTTGCAGTTTGGGGAGGGGTGGGGGGGGGGGGCACTCAAAGGGTATTTAAAATCCTAGAGTTCAGCTTTAACAATTAGATTGTAGTGCTGGAGTCATTGCTGCATTAACTTGCCACCAGATGGCAGTGTGTTCCCTCATATAGGAATGGAAAATCCATTCTGAGTGTGGCATGCCATCTGTGCACACTGAGTTAACCTGTTAGGTGCTGATGGATTAAGCACATTGCAAGTAAAGGGAATAAATGACAAATCCTGGTTTCACACACCCACAGTTCTGGCACTGAAGTTTGGAACGCAGGGTTGTCTGGCAAGTTTTCTGCATTCCAGGCTCTTCCAGACACTCTAGTGTAGTCCTGACCTGTATTTTTGCAGGGTTTTCTGTGGAAAACGAATGTCACATAATCCTTCCAAAAACAATGTAATACAATGAGCTAGACCTATACCTGCCATAATGTTTTGCCTTTTTTTGATCACACAATCTCCTGTAGTGGGTGAGTTCATGTCCTTCTGCTTTTCCAGCTGGAGATCTATATTTCCGAAGGGACGCACTCGACGGAGGAGGACAGTAAGTTACGGCTTCCTTTCCAACAGGGCAGTGGGCACAGGGAACAGAATGTCACACTTGAGATATAAGCTTGTACTTTACATGTCATTGTAGAACACTGGGATGGTAAAGACCTGTGACTAAGCAGAGATAACCTTTAGCCTTTGACCTTAGTTGAGGTCTGTTGTAGATTATGGTTGTCTGGCTAGGAAAGTCAGAAAAGGCTTACACACTCAAACACACATTAACCACCTTATCGGAATGTCTCTTATGATTACCTTTTTATATGTGCATTAATATGATGGATGGGCTTTAATGTTGCCAGACTTGTCCTTCAGGCTCTATGTCCATAGGTCACTTGGAAGCAACAGATCTGCTGCGTTTGCTACTTGCTCTGTGTATTTACTTGGAAGGAGTAAATCCTGACTTAGAGCAATGGCCTAACTGCAGTATGGAGGAATGGGGCGTGAAGTCACTTGGTTGTTGGAAAGTAACAGGCCACGTTCAGCGTTCCGATGTACGTGCCATTATTGTATGTGGCTGGTGTACTATGAGGAGCACTTACACGGCCTTGTCTTTTATCTTTAACACACCTACAGGGGAAATCTTTAAGGCCTAGTTCATACCTGGGCGTCTGCGTTTTCTACACGGATTATGCGTGTTTGTGCAATTTTGCGGTAAATTGTAGCACGTTTTTCTCTGGTGCGTTGACCAATGAAAAGTAGTCAAATCCATGATGCAAGTTCCTGTTACCTTTTTACATAACTTCCTGTTTCCCGCAGATAAAAGAGAGTGTTTGCTGCTGTGTTCCCTACTGCATTGTCTTGGTGATGGATCATTATTACTTTCAGCGGCACAGTCTGGCAGCTGTCTTGACCCCAATGATGATCCTAGACAACAGGAGAAAGTGAAGGCGAAGGTTCTGTATTCATCCTGCCATTGCGAGCAGACCGAAAAGTGGCCAGTTCTGGGCCATGTATGATAAGTCTGTCTCCATCATATTGGAGTGGTGATGGCTCCATTTCGAATCCTAGTGTGCTTTGCAAAAAAAAAAAAAGGGGGTTGACTTTCCATGCTGTAAAAAATGCTAAGCAAACACACGTTAAACTCGCATTCAAAACACGCAAATGCGCGAATTTGCAATGAAAGTCTACCGACCAAAAACACGCTGTATATGCCCCAAAGTGGCTCATGAACTTTTCTGCGCGACAGTATTTTTTAAAAGGTGACACAACCTTCAGGTGTAAACAGGGATCATTGTAGTGAATGGAATTGTCTTTGTTGAGCGTTTCAGCGCTCATATAAAATGTGCATTGAAACGCGTAGGTGTGAACGAGGCCTTAAGGAGAATTATGGTATTAGTAAAAAAACACTCATCCCCATATTTCAAGCCGACCTGTGACAATGAACACATACTGCCAATCGCTGAGTTCTCGATCCTCTCTCTGTAGAGAGTGGTGACTGTCAGTATAGTGATGGATATTTACCCCTCTCCATTTCTCTAGCGCTGACTGGAGGAATGGACGGGGAAGGGGCGGGCACAGCTGGCTCTGTTTCTAGAGAGGCAGAGCCAGCTGTCAATCAGCCACCGGGGTGGATCTCGACAGTATACACTGAGTTTTGGCTCACTGGAGGACATCTGTATAAGTCCTCCTGTGACCCTGAAGAGAACTATGGCCAAAAAGGGTTATGCCATAGTTCTCCTTTAAGACATGTCAATAATGCTTGAAAACTGAAAGTGAATAATCAGTTTAAAGCCCATAATTAAATCCCAAAACTAAGTCTAATCATTTGGGAGTCTTCCTGTCCCGGTGACTTATTTTTCTGTCCTGGTGCCACGTGGAGACAACAGAAAAAAAACCTCATTATAAAACCCTCGAGAAGCTTACAATCTAAGTTCCCTATCTCACATACACACTCACAGGGCCGATTTAGACAGGACGCAGTAAACATTCCAGCATGTCTTTTGGAGTGTGGGAAGTCGGAGTACCCAGAAGAAACCAAGCACAGGGAGAACATGCAAACTCCTTGCAGATAGTGACCTGACCAGACACTTTATCCATAACTACAAAAAAAAAGGCATTAACAGGATTTTGGCTTTAATGTGTTGTATATAGATGACTACAGGCAGGGATACATTAGGCATACTATATATATATATATATACAACGGTTGCTGTATGTCTACTGACAGCCACACCTATCGAAGGTAAAAGAGCACAGAACTTTGGTAGCTACCATAGTCATAATAACTGCAGTCTTCTATATTACATTGTATTTATGGATTGTAGAACAGCCAGTGGGCTCATTCAATATAATATCTTACAAAATCCCAATGCCACATGCTGCCCCAAAAAACACCAGTTTGACATGTCTGGATCATAGCAAAGAAGCATATTTGCCTGTCATGTAGACCTGTCATAAAGTAGATATAATGTTAGGATAATCACCTAGCATATGGGTCACATCCACAGCCATTCAACATTTATTCAGATACTGACTGGTTGAAATGGTGCAGTAATGAAACCTGGTAGAAAGAAGTCTCTCAGCTACCGGGAATTGGACCTATCAGTCTACAAAGCAGATATAAACAGCCTGCAGCCACCGAGCCAGGAAAAGGGCAAAATAATTTCCGGTCCCATTAATGGTTATGGGTTTTGTATTTTCAGTATGTGTCTATAACAAATTCATGCCTAGCTAACTTTAACTCTTCTCTCCAAGTTAACAAGCAGATAAATGACAAGGAGCGGGTGTCTGCAGCCATGGAGAACCCTAATCTACGGGAGATAGTGGAGCAGTGTGTGACGGAGCCGGATTAGAGTGGTGGAAAGTCTGCATTGAGGTAGATCTGGCAGGAGAAGAACACGACAAGTCACTTCTCCCAGGAGGCAACGCATGGACGTTCAGAACTTTTCAATTCATAATCTGGATGGTGCAGCATTTGCTGGGAGCCTCCGTGGATGGCAATGCTCTGGGGTGGAATTCTTAAGCTGGAGAACAGATACCACAGACTACTGCAGATTCCATTGTGGAACAACGGAAACCTTCTGAAGGCTTAAATGGTACTTCCTTCCTCTAAATGCCTTTTAGTAGAAGTAGGTGAGCTATGTAAATAACAATCATGTTCTACCAGATTCAGTAGTTTGACATCCTTCAATGAGCTCCCGCAGCTCCCTCTACCTGCATTAGAACTATATAGACATTTTGTGATACCTGGGTAGAGAAAGCTGCAGGAAAATGGGAATCCTTGCTCAAGGAGCTTCCCCAACAACACTGCACACTTAGCTTACCTGCCTCTGCTAAAACGCATCACGTGGGATCGTACTTTTATATTTTTGATACTCAAAGATTGTGGTATGCATATTGGAGGGAACCTAAAGAACAATAATCGGAATGAGAAGCCTTACTGCACTGTACAGACAAGAATTCTAAATAAATCTTTTATATGACTGTTTAATGACTCCTCCTGGCCAAGGTTATAACATCTGTATAGACAGATTGTGTATAGATTTAGGTTTCTGCAGGGGCCGCTGCAGCAATATTTACTCTGGTACATAACGGGAAGCTGTGTATTCTGCAAGTGACCCGTTAAATGACCAGTAAAGAACTCTAACACCAGTCTATGAAAGTGCTGACCTCAAGCTTCAGGAGTTCAGTATTGTTTACGCTTGGAGGGGGTCAGATGTCCCTGTCCCATATGGTCGGTACAGTGTAGATTATAGACTTGTGTGTTTCACACTTCTGGGTCAGCAATTAGTTTGCTGGAGGAATAGCAGAAGATTGCACTCTAAGGGATTGTTCACTTCAACATTTTCACATTTAGCAGTTTGTCCCAGTTTAATTGTTGCCTAATAGTAGACATTTCTTCTTTTCTGTCACTTAGAGCACAATCCACAAAGCTGTTTTTCTCTTGTTATTTCCTTGGTAGCACTTATGTAGCTCATATCTCTTAGATTCATTTCAGAAAGATGCATAACATGCTTGCTGCTCTTTGGCCATTGGGTGGTCACTGATGATGTAACTCCTGCACACAGCAGGAACATCATCCACGACACCCAGATCCATTCCTAGCACTTCTAAAAAGTGGGAATAAGCCAGGAGCATACATTGTATTTATTTACATACTACTGTAATTCCTTGCTCCCCTGGCAGACGGCGTTCAGCTTTTCTCCCTCACGCCTCAAGTTCCTCAGCATCCTCACGTACAATGCAGGGCTATTGGCCCCATGTTGTAGTGAGTGACATCAAGGTGCCTGCAACCAGCAGAGCACGTTAAAGGTGGCCATACACTTTACAACCATCGCAAGACCTTTAGTCTTGCGATGGTTGTAAAGTAATTAAAAAAACGTACGATCTGCCCATCTTGGACAGGCAGATCGTACTCTCGATCATCGCAAGCCCGCCCCCCTGAGGGGCGGGCTTCAGATGACCGCAATGCTGAACGGGCAGTGTGCGCGTGCGCACACCGGCCCGTTCGGCATTTGTCTCCCGAGCACCGTTCAAACCAGCCGAAAATCGTACGATTTTCGGCTGGTTTTCTAGCATGCTCCTTAGACAAAAGACGTGCGACCGGACAGAAGAAACGGTCGCACGTCTTCGTTCACACTGCTCGAATCTCGTACGATCGCGGGATTTCCCGCAATTCTCGTACGAGAATCGAGCAGTGTATGGGCACCTTAAGAGTCTACTTTGGCTGGTCTTATAGCGTGGAGGGAGCCTGGAGTAATTAGGGAAAACTCTATTTAATGGTACCCCAGGCATAAATATGCATTTAACCTTTGCATTGTGGGGAAGCCCTCTGCAAGGGTATTTCTTTGTGAGGTCAGCATTAAAGGAAAATACAATTCCTTACCCTACTCTCTTATTTAGCATTTCTTCCTGTTCACTTTGAATACCATTTCATGTGAAGATGCTTTTCACATGATTGAATAATTGAAGTGAAAATTCATACAGTTTTTTTGGGTGAAGATTCTCAATTCTTTTAGGAAATCAGCCGACATGCATATGTACAGGGGGTTCATTTATAAATGTCCACACAGCACTAGCACCTCTAGATGGCGCTGACAGGCATAGGAATTTTCTATACTCGTTAGCGCCATCTAGAGGCACTAATGCAAACTTTTATAAATTAACCCTAAGCTGTCCAAAATGGCACTTTTTCTGTGAATTGATAAGCTGCAGTATTAAATAGAGGGTCAGACCAAAAAATGCATGACAGCACATGCCAAGACACAGAGGTGGGGATTTATCAAAACTAGAGCAGATAAAATCTGGAGCAGCTGTGCATGGCAACCAATTAGCTTCTATCTTTCATTTTTAAATCTTAACCTAACAACTGAAGAGAGAAGCTGATTGGTTGCCATGCACAGCTGCTCCAGTTTTGATAAATCCCCCCCCTCCCCAATGGGCTTAGTGTAGCAAGAGGTGTATAAAACCTACCAAAGCCTAAAGAGATGATGCAGACATATGGATGTAGACCTCATATTACTAAAGGTTTAATGCAGATAATATCTTGTATGCTGTGCAAGTCTAGATAAAGGCTAACTAGCAACAGGTCAGTTCAACTCCATTAACTGATAAATGGATAGTTGGGGTGAAAAAAACCACATCAATTGTTCTGGCAGGGGGGAAAAGCCCTTTCTGATTCCTAATGGCAATCAGATAACTCCTATGGATCACATCCTACTATTTTATTTCTTATAAATAGCCATTTACATTCTGTGCGTTTAGAAACACATCTGGCCCTTTTATGAATAATTCTACCGGTTAGAATGAGCTCCCGTGGAAGACTATTCCATGTTTTTACTCTAAAGGGCCTTTTCCATGTGTGGAACATATGCCATATTCAGGCACAAAGACTCTAGTGAGTACATTCATGTCTATTGTGAGGATTTTAAAGTGAACATCTTTGCATTGTATTTACTATATGGAAGACGTATATTTATACAGGGCGATCTTATCACTATTAGCAACCTCTTCTCAATAGTAAATAAATACAGTACGGATAATCTTTCTTCAGCGCTGAGGCTCCTCCATGCCCCCTATTTCTTTATCTGTGTACTGTTCTGCCCTCCTCTACAATATTCTTTATAAAATTCAGCAACACTGTAAATGTGCTTAATGTCTGTGCAGCCCAATATAATATGGTCTTCAAAACATATGGGCAGCACTGTGAGCTCTTGTCACAGGATTTTCTGCAGCCACATTGAAAATGGTAAAAAAACAAGAAGTTTTTAAGCCATTTCAAATGTTGATTTAATCACTTACAATGGATGCTAATTCTTGTTGTTTTACTTACCTGCAGAATTAACTGGTCCCCTGAGCACTGGTACTGATATCCCGTTTTAGGGTGACTCCTTTCCCTCGCAGGGTCTTATGGTTCCCCCTTTGTGTGCGTTAGTAAGCTGTGTGTGTCTTCACAAACACAGCAAAGCAAAACACGTCCCTGCTCTCTGCTATGCCTTCTCCTCCCCCCTTCTCCAAGCCAGTAGATGGACAGCTGCTGGAGACTGTGCTCTTCCTTGTGATCTTGTATTGGGCAGGAAGTTCAGGGAAGCCGAGCTGAGAGAGTTGGAGCCAGCCGTTTGCAAACATGATGCCTGTAAATGATTAATATATTTGTTTGATATTGGATCATCATTGAAAAATAGTTTGAGTTTAATACTTCTTTTACCTGGACTATCCATGACGTGCTGTTAGGTTTTTTTGGTGAATAGACCTTCAGAGATCTCACTTAAACCCCATTCACACTGAGCGATTTGTAGAGCAATTCTAGCTCAAATCGCTCACTGTAGCTCGTCCAATGCATTTCAATGGAGCAGTTCACATCTCGCAGCTCAATGACGCCTGTGGCTTGTAGCCCAAGTCGCTCGAACATGACCTATTTTTCCAGCAGATTTTGTGCGATTTGGCCCAATAGGCTTTGATAGACTGCCTAAAGAAGCGCTACGTAGTTCCACAAAATGTGCACTGTAGCTCAGCTCAAATCAGCCCCGATGTAGCTCAGTGTGAATGGGGTCTGATGCTGTGCTCTTTATTATTTTTACTACTACAATATGGCGGGCCAGACCTGTATGATACCAGCCACCTCTTGAATGCAGGCTGTAATTCATTTGCAGGACCAGTACTGTAGCACACTTAAGGAAGCACCTCTATATAGACTGTGCCTACTGACATTTCCTGCAGTACTGACTGGGTCATTGCTTGCTGGTGTATATGTGTGTATTACAGCCTGCATTCAGCAATAAGAGATTGTTGGGAAGATGCAGCAAAAAGACCAGGATGAATAAGCCAATACAGTGAAAAAAACAACAAATATAAAACGAGCCTGTTCTTGCACTTGGCCTTTACCAGAAGCTGTAAGGATGGAAGTAAGGTTAAGAAGGGAAACCACTTGCATCTGAATATCCCAGTCATCTATCTTGCCACTTTGTTGGGAATTTGGAGCACTTAGTGAAACACGACATTATGAAAGGCCATACTATTTTTGATGACCTCTACAATGCATAAAAACCAGCAGCCGAGCGATAAAAAAGGGTTCTATAGGGTTTGTCAAGGCCAAGTAAGTGCACTTAGTTACTTTATGACTATTGCGAGAGAAATGCACACACTGTTTCCGAACAGAAAGCAAAGAGAGTGTGAACAAAGTGCTGATCAAATCTTTGGGTCAAATCACAGCTTTACAATGTGTTCACGTGAAAGCCCAAGGTGTGAGTGGGGCATGTGTACATTTCTGCAGCTACAGTCCGTTTTGGCTGCTTGTTTAGCTATTGCTTGGTGCGTTTATGATGGGAACGTGACCAGGTAAAGGGCCAAGTTCTACCCATACATAAGACAGGAGACAGATGATGTGATAGTGGCTGAAGACTCATTGACTCTCAGAGGAGGCTGTTCGGGACTCCATACACAATAGGTGTATTTATAGCTGTGCAAATCTCCGGATAAGTCGGATGTGCACAAATATATGGAAAAATGAACAAAGGACAAAGTCCCATATGAGCAGGCAGGCCTTCCTCATTTCCTCTACAGACTCATAAACAGAAGCCCTTTCTAGCTCATGACTTAAGCAGTTATTCCTAGGCCTCTACCTTACAAAAGCTCAACTGTTTGCCCAATGTTTATTTGTAGCTGCTTCATGAAAAAAATAAATAGTCTGTTATGCCTAAAGAATATTTTATAGTGATCATTGTGTCGGCAGCCTACGGTGTTTGAGAGCGTACATCCTGAAATGGGGCTATCATTTACCTAAGATTTATAAACGTGAGGAAGGAAAACGTGGAGGACTTCTCAAAGCAAGTAACCAGATGTGTGCTTATCAATAGCCAACCAGCTATAAAATGGCAGCTGGAACTTTTCCCCTCCCTCTATTTTTTTATCATTTGTCCCTAAACCCATCATTTAACCCAACGCTGGCAGACATTTTTAGTCTGGGCCAATAATCACGTCATTAAACCGTATGAAAAAGGAGATACAAGCTGCAGTATATGGCTGCTACGTTAAATTATCATTATAGGAGGAAGTAGAAGTCTCCTTAAAGGAGATCTATGAGCCGAGTGATTTCCACTCATCCTCATAGTTAGAGCCGACCTGTGACAAAGAAGCTGTCGCAGGTCGGCTCTATTGATCAATAAGTGAGCAGAAATATGCCGCCGATCCGCTCACTTTCCAATCGTTTCCCTGCAGTGAGCAGTGACCGTCAGTCACGGCTCCCAGCAGGGATTCCCCCCTCTCCGATTTTCCAGCACAGAGTGGAGGAACGAACGGGGAGGGGGCGGGCACAGCTGGCTCTGCCACTAGATAGGCAGAGCCAGCTGTCAATCAGCTAGCTGGGTGGATCTCAACAGTATTGTCGGGATCTGTCCTGGCTGCGGCGCTCTCAGTAGGTCGTGGGCTATTGCTGAGCTTTGGGTCAATTTACCCCATAGTTCTCTTTTAAGGCACAACTTTTTGGATTCAGTGGTGAGGGGTGTTTTCATTGCTGTCTGTACCCATGTTGGGGAGATTCACTTCTGATTACCTGGAATGAAAGTGAGGGGTAAATCCAAACTCTTGAGTTGCCACCAGAACAGGAACAGAGGGGACACTTGCTCCCCTGACAACCTAAGAAGGGATTTCACTCACATTGGAAGGATATTCTCTCATTCCCTGTTGAGTCTACAGAACAGGAAGTGAAGGGAACCTAATGAGACACAGATGAGAAAAAAAATAAAAGCAGTTTTAACCCTCCCCTACTCTAGCCATAAGCTCTCCACACACCTTACAATCTGATTGTGCAATCTCCTTTAGATCTACCAATACGTATGTAGTGCAAGGACCTGCCCGGTTGGATGCAGATTGATTTGATGGATTAGTTAGGTGCTCCTATTCTCCTATTACATAGATTTGGTAAGTTTAAAATTGATTGTACAAAAATTGTATGGTCAGATTGTAACGTGTGTGGTAAACCATAGACATAGACACGAGAGACAAGTCAGATGTGCAGGCCGGATCCAAATGTCTTACAATGTCTTCTGGCCCAGCTTCACCCCTACATAGGAATTCTCAGGTTGAACAAGTGAACCTGTTTGATCTATGGGACGAGGAAGCTGGAGACTGATGTTGGGGTAGGAGGATAGTGATTAGACAAGATGTCCTAATCACTGTCATTCTCAAAATCTTTCATCCCGAACCAAAACCACAAGCAGCTTCCCATACACCTGAGATTGTCATCCAGTGTAGGTCAAAAACTGGATCAGGAAACTTATCATCTGGTGAACACCTCAAGAACACTCCTATCATATGGCACTTCCTATAGCAATCTTCTGGGTATAAACGTTATTTCCCAATGCCATAAAAACAGTGTGCAGGAAAACTGGTAACGCGTTTCATCCCGAGAGGTGTGCCTTAATATAGCAATCTTCTGGGTATAAACATAATTTCCAAATGGCATAAAAACAGTGTACAGGAAAACTAGTAACGCGTTTCATCCCGAGAGGCGGGCCTTAATATAGCAATCTTCTGGGTATAAACATAATTTCCAAAAGGCATAAAAACAGTGTACAGGAAAACTGGTAACACATTTCATGCCTAGATGCAGGCGCACTTGCTATGATTAAAGGAGAACAGTGAAAATCACTCATCCTCACAGTTCGAGCCGACATGTGACAATGAAACGGTCACACGTCGGCTCAATAGATCGGGAAGTGAGCGAACACATACCGTCGCTCGCTCACTTCTTGATCATCTCCCTGCAGAGCACGGTGACTGTCAGTCATGGCTACCTGCCTGCATGGATTCCCCCCCTCCCTGCTCCGATCCTCCAGCGCTGACTGGAGGAATGGACGGGTACAGCTGGCTCTGCCTCTAGATAGGCAGACCCAGCTGTCACTCACGCAGCTGGGTGGATCATGACAGTATTGTTGGGATTCGTCCCGGCCGCGGCGGTCTCAGTATACTGCGAGCTGTAGCTCGCGATATACTGAGCATTGGGTCACGGGAGGACGCTAGTATATGTCCTCCCGTGACTCTTAGGGGAACTATGGGGAAAAACACTTACCCCATAGTTCTCTTTAAAGTCCTGCATTCAGGGCTAAAATGCCTTAGAAGTTTTCCTGCACACTGTTTTTATGTCATTTAGAAATAAAGTTTATACCCAGATGTTTGCTATATCGAGTGACGGTTTTCTATGTGGTTCATTGAGGTCTAGCAGAGATCTTTTCCGGCACTGAAGTTCCAATAGGTAGAAAGGCTCTTTCTATGGATTTCACTCCCATCAAATACCTATATAATAGTATGATCTAGTGTAAATGCTTTCATTGTGACACGGGCCAACAATTCTACTACATGAACATGATGTCAAAGAACAATGGAAATCAATACAAATGTATTATTTAATTGACATACAAAAAAAGGTCTGAGAACAAGAAAGCCCAGTTGTGATTACAGAAGACACCTTCTCTAGGAGGATGTCACCTTACTCAGAACAGCACATTTGCTAAAATATGTGAACAGTGAATACTCCATTACAGCACCAATAACAACTGAGTTTCCTAAAGCTATAAATGACTGAGCCATTAGTATTGTATGTTAACTGACCGTTTCCCAAGCAGTGGTATTCTTTGTCATAAAGTATACAAATCTGTACAATAATCTGTGTGTCTTTATGTTGCTTTGCTACATATCCCAGGCACTTAGCCCCACTCTGATTTCCATTTACTCCCTTAATGCCCCTAACTATTCAGTGCCATTCAGGTTAGCAGCACGTCGATTTATTTTCTTGGCACAGAGTCACAATTTGTGTAGTGAACAAAAGAACTGAAGCCAGAACTTTATTTTAGTTTTGGATAGAGTAAGGGATGGTTATAATCTCTGTCAGCTTTTTTTTTGCCATCTGTGACCCATTGGGGAGATTTCTCTTCACTCCCTATTTGATAGCCACAACAGGAAGTGAGAGGAAATCCCTCCAAGAGAGAGAAATCCCTGATTGTCAGAAAGGTCACCAGAACTAGTGTCACCATTTGGAAGATTTTCCATCTATTCCTGCTCTGATGACAACCCAAAATGTTGGATTTTCTTTCACTTCCAGTGATAACGGCCACTAGGACAAATAACGGGGACACAGACAGAAATAAAAACATGACAGGTGTTCTAATCCTTCTCCACTCCATCCAAAACTGAAATGAAAAACGTTTTGGCTTCAGTTGCACTTAAAAGCTGAACTCCAGACACACCACTAACTGCACAACTAAAATACATATATGGATGCTGCTTTCCCTGCCACAAAATTAGTATTTGTGTCCATTTAGTCCTGAGAATTACACAGACCTACCAGACTGTACAGCCAGACTAGTGTCCTGACCTCTTTCTGCTCTAGTTAAGCTACAAAACAAGGTCACCTTCATGACCCAGCTTGTGATTGGACAGTAACGAGGCAGCAGCAGACTAATGAAGTCATCTCTCTGCATGTTCCTTGTCAGCACATGTGCATGCAGCACATCTGATTGGCTGCTAGTGCTGCCCCCTCCTCTCACAGTCTGAGTCCTGTTGCATAGGTAATTACAACAGGCTAAAACCAAGTCCCATTCATGTACATACACGAGATTCATTTATATTATTCATTTGTAATGAAAATATAACTACATTAATTGGTGTTTTATGATATTTATCTGGAGTTCAGCTTTAAAGAAGAACTCCGGGGGGAAAAAACTTTGCTGTTGGGCTACCCCTGTACTGCAAGGGCTAAGTGATCATTTTGTCTAGAAGTCTCAAATAAAGGAGTTATAGTCACCTAATCCTCGGTCCTGCTGGGTTGCTTGATCAGCCCCCACAGCCTCTTCTCCCCTGGGCTAATCTAAGACAGGTCCACTGACTTGGGGGAGAGAGGTGAGCACTGGTGACTATATCTGCTTTTATGTGAGCCCCCTAGACAAAAGAACACCTAACCCTTGTAGTGCGGGTGTAGCCCCACTGCAAGGGTACATTTTTTTAATTCCTGGAGATCTTCTTTAATCATTTCATTATAAATATAAGACCTATTCCTGGTACATATGGCCACCCTATGATGATATGGCTTAGTGTGGCCAGATGATCCATAGGCAGGTAGGTGGAATGAGGTTATGGGGAATATATCTTTCCATTCACAATCACTTGCCCCGAGTGCATTACATTGATTGTTGCTTAGAGATGTTTTCAGCAGAACGTCAGCCCCATATTCATCATCAGTGCACAAAGCTAGAAAAGTAAAATTACACAAAGTAAAGGCATGAAAGAGGGCAAACAGGTTCTCTTGCCTCGTGGGTGGGACTGTTCGATGGACTGCTGTCTAGCTACGCAATATATGCCTGAGGCTGAGACCAAAGACATCATAAGCACCAGAAAGCTGACCATTATAAGGAGCACAACATTCATCCACTGGCCAGCCAGTGAATCGTTATAAGAGTTCTGAGTTTACGTCACTTGAACATTAGCACCAAAGGTCCGGAGACTGTGCAATCTTGGACGGGTTGTGGGAAAGTGGTAGCCGAATAGAGTCCAATCCACACAGAAACCTGTTCCTTCACCATTTCCATTATCTTGTGAACAATTAATGACCTCACTTGCAAGGCAGAAGATGCTGGGACGGATCTTTGGACCATTTCAGCAGGGGTGACTATATCCAATCATTGCAGACATGTCCACTGCAAAGTTTTTGTCCCTGAGACTAGAGACAGCGGTCATCCTCACCTCCGGGACAACCGCTGGTTTGTGAGCTCACGTGAACTCTGGGAATGAGTCTGGCAGGTCTGGCAGCATTGAGCTTGGACTGTGGCCAGTGAACAGCGACCAAGGACCCTCAAGGTGCGGCAGAAGCTGAATGTGAGGCGGTCACGGGTGCATGAGGCTGCAGGAGAAATAACACATTACTAGCAGATAAAGAGATGGCAGTCAAGTACATGAAATATCAAGGAAACTTTCAATATGATTCCTAGTGCAGAGAAAGTGATCCTGCAAAAAAAACTTAATTATATCTGCTGTATATAATTGGTGCAGACATTTATGTTCTCAGCTGGACCAGTTCATTAAACCATGAAGACTATATGGCATGCGCCCTAGTTAAATGCTAGACCAGCAGTCGCCAACCTTTCGGACCTCAGGGACCGCTAAATTCATAATTTTAAATCCCGCGGACCACTTCATTCCTTGTGACAGCCGCTGCTTGAGTCAGTGAGAGGCAGCCCCGCAGCCTCCGTGCTGCTTCGATGACGGCCCAGCCTGCACGGCATCAGAGGGGTGCGGGAACCACCAAAATGTTCTCGTGGACCACCAGTGGTCCACAGACGACCGGTTGGCGACCGCTGTGCTAGACTACACATTGAACAAGTTTTCAACCACAGCTCTGGCAGCAAATGAAGGGCTTACACTGACCACACATGTCCTTGGAATCTGATTGTACCATCTTCAACTAGTGCTGTTCTGTAAGAACGTGCTTATAGACAGACCAACTGAAGCACCATAGCAAAAAATGTCCACAAAAAATTAGGTTGGCTGCCTACCTAAATATACCCAGGTTTTTTCATCACTGGACCTTTTCTTCCCTGATGGCACGGACATATTCTGAGATGACAATGCCAGGATTCATCGGGCTTAGATTGTGAAAGAGTGGTTTAGGGGGCATGAGATATAATTTTCACACATGGATTGGCCACCACAGAGTCCAGACCTTAACCCCATTGAGAATCTTTGGGATGTGCTGTAGAAGACTTTACACAGAGGTCCGACTCTCCCATCATCACTACAAGATCTTGGTGAAAAACTAATACAACTCTGGATAGAAATAAATGTTCTAACATTGTGTAAGCTCATCGAAACGATGCCACAGCGAATGTGTGCCGCAATCAAAGCTAATGCCGGTCTAACTAAATATTAGAGCATGTTATTTTTTATTTTTGGCCAGGCAATGTACTGTATATGTATGCATTATATTCTTTAGAAGCTGTAAAAGAACTTTAAAACAATCCACCTGTGACTTCTGTAGCTGTATGTACTGTGGAGTAATTAGTTCTCAGATCCTCAGATATCACAACAATGGATCTAAAATGTCGGTTTCTAACAGGATAAGTTGGCCACACACCAATAGATTTTTTTTTTCAGCCCACAGGCTAAACAATGCGGAGGGATGAATCTCCTGCAGCTACTGTTTTCTTACAGTGGGCGCCCGGCGCTGTTGGAAAACATGAACAGTGACTGCTAATTGGCTACAATCACCATTCAGCTGAAGATTCTCAACCCAGTTCATTTGACAAAAGTCAATTGAGTAATCGACTTTATGTAGAGCTGCCAGGGCCATCCACTGTTAGATTTTTGCCCAATTCCTGTGAATTGGCTTACATTTTAATAATGTATGGCTAGCTTTAGAAACTGCTGTTTGCAGGCTGCCAGGTTTCTGTTGCAAGGTCCTGTTCACACCTAAACGTATCGTTAATCGCAAGATACCGTACATTTAGCGCATGCTATCGCACAATGAACCTAGCGTGTTATCGTGCGCTAGGTGCATCGCATTGCCATTTACTTAAATAGCACCCAAATGCACCTTCCGGCCACTGTGGACTGGAATACTTCATATCCCATAATGCATTGCTTCCAGCAAACAATTACTGTGTTACACTGTTCAGACGTTAAGTTGTCATTCAAATAGCAGGCTGTGTGACAGTTGCGACACAAGGAAGTGCACATTCACAGGGCTGAGTGAAATTGCGTCAGTGCATTGAGGAAGTACATTCTATGGGCATTTTAAATAAGTCGGTATACAGACTTCTAAATGGATATGGTTATTAGGAGTGGAAATTCAATATAGAAATACCGATTTATTGATAGTTTTTGACCATAGATACCCTTTAATTATACAGGAATGTACCTACAATACATGAGAAAAATGCCTAAAGGTGCCCATACATCAAAGTGTGATGAAGACCGGATATGTTTCCTGTGCTCAGAATCTGAAGTTTACATAGAGAGAATCTTCAAAGGCTTCTGTTTCTGTTCATTGTTTGTCTTTATTGTGTCAACATTGACATGGTTGGGGTATCAAATCAGAAGAGATGTTTAACCACAGCGCAGGTTAGAGGGTCACACAGCACAAAATAGAAACGGTCTTCTATAAATGAGCCTTTCATAACATTTTCTGATGGTATGTAAACATTCACACAACGTGGCAGAACATGCTCTATCACGTCTATGTGTTTCCATAATCTCCATCCTACACTCACAGAGTCACAGTAAAGATGGACATACAGCAGTAGAAATACGATTTCTGAGCGTTAATGGGGTCAAATGGACTATTGTTTTTGACCGCAATGAATACTACTCCTGTATTTGTGTGGCAATGAACCCCTAACTTTCTGACAGCTCACTATGTGAAATATAGCTGCAGGTGACTGACTGACAGGAAGACTGCAGGAAAATACTGTAGGTATGCATAGAGATTTTTTAAAAATATATTCCTGGGGTATGCGGGGGATGAGCAGGTGGCGGTTAACATGCTTCTCTTCAGTCCCCATTCACACCTAAGGGCTTGTTCACACCAATTGCAGTGCATTCCAGAGCGGGTGCTGCTGGAACGCACCGCAATCGCTCACAAAACGTCCACCTGCATTCTGGGGCTGGAGGGGGCGTGGCGGTGCATTGTAGTCAATGGCACCACAGCCACGCCCACACCCGCAGTGCGATCGGAGGCAATGTTTTGCCAGGCAAAATGGACACTTAACCCTTGCAGTGGGGCTACCCCCGAACTGTAAGGGTTAAGATTTGATTGGCCCAGAGTTCTTATTTAGCACTTCTAAATGATCTCTGTAACATAGCAAATCATCTTTTTTTTTTCGTTCGGATCCATTTTAACATGGTCTGTTAACAGGGTTTGTTATAGTGTATATTTCAACAGGGTCTGCCTTTTTCACTTTTTAATTTGCATACAAGTTTTATAAATCTCAATAAAAATCCATCCATACTGATTCATCAAACTTTTGTATGGTTTTAATATGAACTATGAACAGTGTTGGCACAACCTTTTGTTAAAAAAACTTCATGGGAGTGTGACCCACTTGCTGACCCTGTAATCTGAAATCTTGGTCACTGTTAATATGTGAACAAAGGTATAAACATTAACTCTGCAGTCCAGCTTGCAGGGGTAGTCTGGGCCAGAAAGTGGAATCCAGCTGGATGTGCCATCTACTCTGCTGCTTATCAGAATTGTGAATAATGTGCATGTGATTTGTAGGTGCTGGAAAGTCTAGACGGCAGAGTGGGCATAAAATGAGGGCACTGCCACTCCCAGCATTGGCATCCACAATCCCACACTCTGTTTTCTGCACTCAGTTCACACATCTACCATAGCTGGATATGGAAAATAATATACACAATAGCTTTGTCTGATGAAGACACCCTGATAAGTAAGGGAATACCATGCACATGCCGATATCTGTAATTCATGCCATCACTTTATACTGATAGAATCAACAGATCTCTTAGGGCTTGTTCACACCAAGTACGGAGCAGATGCAGAGCAGTTACAGAACTCATCAAAAATGCATCCAATGTATTCAAATGGTATTTTGGGCTCTACTTCACACCAGAGTGTTCAGTTCCAGAGCATGTAAAAAAAAACTGTAGAATGCCCTATTTTTCTGCTCTGGAACGCAGACGGCCCGGAACGTGGCAAAAATGCGGCAAAACACACTGCACTGCATGTGCAGAAACTCATGGAGATCTGGTCCACATTTGGTGTGAACAAGCCCTCAGTGCCCATCATTCTTGGTGAGAGATCTGCATTTATCTGACTAGCTGGTTTGCTCCACAAAGGTGCAGTCACTCATGAGGAGAACCCGCAGCTACAACAGCAGAATAAACTTTTTCCTCGTCACTCCATTCCACAACATACAGCCAATATTTAAGTAGCAAGATCCTTTGTCAGGCTATAAAAAGCCATGGTATGAATTATGTCCTGTGATCGAAAAACACTTCCCATGGCTGGTGGAATAAAATATCTCGCAAAGTACGTATTAGTGATGCTGTTAATTAATCTCTACTTACATTGTTGCACCTTTGACAGTTTTGTTACTAGATAGATGATCAAGACGTCAGATATGTCTCAGTATTACTCATCCTCTAATCCTCTTGTATGGAATTGTATTGTAACTGTACTGTCACCCCTTATTTTGTAAAGTACTGCGCAAACTGTTGGTGCTATATAACATAATAATTTACTATTTATAAGTCTTTGAACCCCAATGTATGTTGGGTATTACAGATGTATCCATAGCGTTTATGATTTTAATAAAGCTGCAGGTTAATGAGATCCTGCCACCAACTTACAAAATTGCAGGTAAAAGTGAAGAAAAAGCAAGTATTTTAAATTAGAGGTGCATCGAAATGAACATTTCAAAACCGAAATATAAAAAAATGTCAGGCCGAAACTGAAACCAAACATTTTTTTTTATAACCTTTTCATTTTTTTTCCAAATATTTTACTTTTATTTATTTTTAATAAACTTTCAAATTTTTATATATTTAATTTGTATTTATTTATTTTTATTAAATATTTTTATTTTTTTACTTTACTGTTGGGGGCTCTGGGGAAATATTGGGGGGCGAAACAGACCCTGATATTTCTAGTTTAAAATAGAAAAAGGGATTAAGAAAACAGAGTCTTCAGTCTCTTTTTCTGCAGCCTCTGTTACTTCATTGGTTGATTGACCTCCTTAATGATCACATCTATATGAATAGTTACTTTGCACTTTATTTATTGGCACTTTATCGATTCAAATATTGGCACTTAATTTATGAAAGGAATATATTGTTTATATAAATATACACTGAGTGGCCAGAGTCTGATGGGGTGGTCATAATAATCTGGCCACTCAGTGTATATTTTTTGTTGATTAGCAGATATAAGATTACCAGGCACAGCGCAACACAGATGATCTCATTACAATTGGAAGCACATACGCTTTTGTGAGTGCTGCAGCTTGCCAAGGTAGATTTTGCACATACATTGTTTCACATCCAAGCGCAGTTCAATTGTTTCTATTATGGGGTACATTTATAAAAGTTCCGCTTAGCTTAGAACCTGGCGGATGCTGTTCACGCAGCACTAGGACCCCTAGATGGCACTGATGAGTAAAGTAATTTCCAATACTTGTCAGTGCCACCTAGAGGCGCTAGTGCAATGCAAATGGAAACTTTTATAAATGTGAGTTTTAATAATATATATCAGGCAATACATTTGAATGACAAGATAACTCATTAATGAATATTATTTTTGGAATTTACAACTTGCTGCTCATTATTCCATGTATAATGTTACATATTACAGTAAAACATTTGCACTGCAGCGAACTTTACTATATACTTGTATTTATCACCCTAGGTATTTAAACATCCCATTGCCTGCCAGTCCATTTACAGCAAAATTCCAATAAGATGTTTAAAGGGCAGTATTTCATCTATTTTTATAGGTGCTCCAGAGAATTGTCAGCTGCACTGTGAAAAGGTATTTCTAGTTATCGCACACACAGCAGATCTGGAAAATACATACTGCAAGCATGCTATAGCACAATATACAAGTGTCTGGACAGAGTGCACTAATCAGAACTGTGCAATACATACACTCACATGACTTTCAGATGTTCCCGTCCACAGTACATTGTGGTCACCCAGCCGTGGGCTGTGAACTTTTCCCAGTTAATGTAGAAGTAATGTTGAGAGGTTTGTAAGACCAGCAATGACCCTTAAACTAGTTGAACAGCGAAACACAAAGTAGAATATGTCAAAGGAGTAAAGTTTTAAACAAAAATAATCAAAATTCTATCTATCTATCTATCTATCTATCTATCTATCTATCTATCTATCTATCTATCTATCTATCTATCTAAAAAAAACATTTATACAGTAGCTATACATTATAAGCTCATACAGACCTGCAGCACATCTGCATGGGTTAATGTAACACGTGTGGCCCTTGTGGTGTTATTATTTGTTAATGGCACCCCAAATGCAACAAAATACGCAAAACATGCAGTCAAAAAAAATGTAGAGCTCAGAGCTCAAACTGTTGCATAAGCTTCTTTGCTGCATTTGTTGCAAGTAGGGCAGATCAATGAAATGAATGGACTGGCCTATACTGACAAGCTGCAAATGCAGCATTCACGTGCACCGCATGTCTGCACAGGGCCTCAGTGTTTGAACAATATTATGTACTCTATTATCTGGAAAATATTTTTTTATATCTATTAGTTTATACAGCATGAGAGATGATGGCGGAAAAATAGAGAATAAACTGTATATATACTGTACACTGCCTGGCCAAAAAAAGGTCACACAATCTAATATTTCATTGGAGTGCCTTTATTATTGATTATGGCACGCATTCGCCGTGGCAACGTTTTGATAAGCTTATGCAATGGCACAGCATTTATTTCCATCCAGAGTTGCATTCATTTTTCACCAAGATCTTGTAGTGATGATGGGAGGGTCAGACCTCTGCGTAAAGTCTTCTGCAGCACATCCCAAAGATTCTCAATGGGGTTAATGTCTGGACTCTATGGTGGCCAATCCATGTGTGAAAATGGTGTGTCATGCTCCCAGAACTACTCTTTCACAATCTGAGCCCTATGAATTCTGGCATTATAGAAAACCTGGTCAGTCAGTATATTCAGGTAGGCGGCTGACCTCATTTTTGGGCACATAACATTGCTGAACCTAGACCTTTTATTTACATATCTAAGTACACGTCTTTCTATTCCTGGAGAGCACTTCTGTGCATTAAGTGTACTTCCTATCTGGAGAGTGAGCTTGTGTGGTGCTTGTGTGGTGCATCTGTGTACAGTGCTGAGTGTGGCAGCTCAGTGAATACAGGCACTTACTGGTGGTGTTCTGCTGGCAGTCCTGAGGGTTACACTTCTGGATGTTTTCAGGCCATGGTTCATGATCACACAGATTGTTATCTTCCTCAGCTGCCCCCGTCCCTTTGTTCACGCATTTCACCTGGCGACGCTGGATTCCCCCTCCGCAGGAAGCTGTGCACTAAAGTCAGCCAAAGCGTATAGACAGCCCAGAAAGAAGAAGACAGTAAGAAGGACTGTGAGGGGGCGCAGACATGTCCCCAAATGTAATCTGTGCCGCATAAAGCTAGTTAATACTGCAGCCTTCTAGATATGTTGTGTACAGTGAAGTATCACTATGCCAATGCTATATCAGTGCCCTGTGATGGGAAACATCAAGATACCACTGTACTTTACACTTACCAGGCCCCAGGGTCCAACAGCCCATGTAGTACATGGATGTTCGTTACAAGGGCGACTGCTGTTGGGTTTCAGACTTTCATCACAGCGACCAGTCTGAGGGCAGGTGACCAGCCTCTGCTGCATGCCACCACCACACTCCTCTGAGCACTGCACATACAAAATCAAGACATAAAATTGCAGAACTGCCCACAAGAGACTGTTAATACATGATTACAATGCATTTGTCTACATTGTAACTATTGTTACCCGCAGTGAGTAGTAAAAACAAAACGCAAAGTAAAGCAAAGATAATCTATAACAGCAACATGTATTTCCTAACATGCTTTACTATGCTATGCTAAGGGGAGTAAAATGGGGGTTGTCAATCAGGGTCTGGGTGTTGTGGTAGACCATAGACTTTACAGAATGCAATGTCAAGCTGCATTTTTTTAAAGCAAGCTAAATTACAATACAATACAATACAATTACAATTTTCTTGTATTTAAAGGGGTGTAGACTGCTGAGACAGAGCGACATAAGCTGCCCCATACAAAGCATTAGCAAGACCTCACCTGGAATATGCAGTTCAGTTTTGGGCTCCAGTTCACAAAAAGGATGTTGTGGAACTGGAGAAAGTGCAGAAAAGGGCAACTAAACTAATAAGAGGCACGGAGGACCTCCGCTATGAAGAAAAATGTAACTGACCTAAATTAATTCTCCCTGGAAGTGATTAAGGGGCGATATGATCACCATGTATAAATATACATAAATGGTCCAGGTTTATTGACGTGCTTTTTACTGGACAGGAAAGCCGATGTTAGCTTGTAAAATGTGCAAAAACTGTTATATGATGCCCATGTCCCAACCTTGCTCACTCTCCTTTAAACCATTTGCATTGAATCTGACATCAAGAAAAGTGGCCTTGCATATAAAACATCTCCCTGACCTTCAACATACTTCTTGTATTCTTACACCTGATACCAGCAGGAGGCAATGTTTCCTTAGGGATGCAACAGTACCAGGGATGAGGACTCGAATGCGACCACAATGGTTTCATGAACCCAAAAGGAAGCACAGGGGCGTTTGTTTGTCTGGTTGTCAAAACAGCTTCTTTGGCCTGGAAGCTTGTTAAGTGATGGGACTGCTGACCAGTGACCAGGACTCTTTGTCATACATAGTCCCCAGTTCTACATGGTGAAGTAAATGCAATGTGTACTGTACACAGACAGCTTTTGCTTTGGAGTCAATCAACAAAGTTCTGTTTCACCCTCTGGTAAGATGGGACATTTGATGAAGGTGTTCATTTTGTTCCCATTCACATTTGGATGCCCCATTCAGGTGTCCCACGTAACAAACTTTCAGGGCAATGCGGTGACTCTTACAAAATAGGGAAGATGAGAAGAGGGAGGAGGTGAAAGAACCGAGGCCCAGATTTAGTATAAGAGAGACTTACAAAAGGCATGTTTACTGCACATTTTACAACAGCATTTAACAGGTGGATAGAAGAGTTCAGAATCTTGCTGTGACTGCGCAGATCACCCATTGTTTAGACTTGTTATATCTCTCTATGACTCTCTAGGGATTTCTCTACCCTGCTGCAAACTTCTATCACTTCCAGGACTTGTGTCAGGAAACAGGTGCAAGACAACCTTGGCAGAACTACTCCCCTCTTAAGTGTTATACTATTGTGTAACCTGTGTGGCGGGGTATCCACAGATGACATTTACACCTCATTGTAACATATAGAGTAAGCACTTGGTACTTTGAGTCTCAGCTTAGGAGCAAGCTCCTTCCTTCTGTCTTCATTTTCTTTGTAAATAACGGCACACTAAAGCTGGCCATATATGGATCGATTTGTAGATGTTTCCTGCCGAATCAGCCAAATGGGTGGCACAATCAATGGGTGGCCCTGCCAACAAAAGCTGATTTTCCCTGCCCTGTCATTGGGTTGTACAGGCTGAGCAGGTGCTGCTGAACACCTCAGATCCCAGGACGCAGGTATCCGCAGTACACTTGTCTCACCATGGCCAATTTATGACATGTAAATGAAGTCTTGAAGCAGGGAAATTCAGTGGTAATAATTACAAGGTGACCAAGATTTCATTTTTCATTATAGATGTATCTGCTGAAATAAAGAACAATCTGAAGAAAAAATGAAAGCCTCTAACTCTCCTGTGCCCCAGTACTCACCTCTCTCCAGGAGGAAACATACCACTCCATACATTTCTGCTCATGACAGACCATCTGTACACGTGGCTTGAATACTGTACTCTGGCAATGGAAGGGTCTCAGAATCCTCTTGTCCCGAGTGTCCACACATTGGACGTCTCTGACCCGAACTCCCGTTCCACAGCTCTGGGAACACTGCAGAGGAAATACAAAGCAAGCTGAAGGGAAATGATCTTGTGTTTTTACACCAGTAACAATTATTTTTATCTAGAAACGATTGTTCATTTCTTATGACTTACTTGATTACAAATACAGAATGAACTGGTGACCTGATATTCACTAAAATGTACATGCTGCTTTTAGGGGAAACTACAAAGGTTTTGGTGAGTTATATTTTTAATCTAGTGTACAAATTGAAAAGCTGTTTTATATTTTGTATTATTTGTATGAAAAAATTATCATTATCAAATATCTAATACAGGATGCAGTCATGACATTTATTATTTTGGAGAAAGCCCAGCACTACCAGGTCACTTTCTCAGCATAACAGAAAATCCAGACAGAGCTGAGAAGGAAAAAGGGTGTGCGTCTCTCCTCTGACTCATTCAGCTGTGTGTGCAATTTGAGCTCCTGCTATTGATGTTCGTTCGTAACACAAAGACAGTTTACAGTAGGGATGTTCCGATACCAGTTCAGATACCGGTGCTGATAATTGGCATTTTCATGAAAACTACCAGGGTTGCAGCGGTTGCAGCTGGGGCCGGGCCCTGGGGCTCCACCACTTTCCTGAAATCATTAGTCTGTATTGTTTTAGAGAAACTGTCACATGACCACAACAAAAATATATCAGTACTCGTACTTGTAAGTACTTGGGCGAGTATTAGTACTTGTACTTGACAAAATGGTATCTGTGCATCCCTTTATATGTTTATAAAAAAAAATTCATACATTAAAACAGAGATGTACAAATCCCAGGAGCTCTGTGTGCTCCTTACAAATGACAGCTGTCTCCTAACTTTTTTGAATTTTTCTCTGGTCTAGTCTTGGAGCTCGAAAACTAGCTGTACATGTACTGAGTACTGTTCTTGGTATTTGTGCATCCCTAGTTTACAGCAACCCAATAGTCATCCTGATAAGAAAGAGGAAAGCACTCTAAAGTGCCATTGGATGGCTACAAATAGTAAATATTCATTACTTGATATGCCGTATTTCATATTTACCTTAGTAAATTGATTTTTTTTAAATTTGGGGGCAAAATGTTGTTTTCTTGGTCCTGCACATAACAAATAATAAAACATATGCAAAACACTATATATCATTCTTTTCAGTATAAGAGAAGGATTTTGATCCAATTCCTTGTCTGTGAAGGTTCTCATATTCCAGGTCATGGTGTTGTAGCTAGTAGTAGTTAGTCACATTCACGTGGACTTGTTCTGTAATGATAAAGACATTTCGTGGCTTATCCCCTCCACTTCTTCAGTTCAGTGGTTTGGATAACCTATGAAACATATTCAATATTACAGAACAAGTCCAGCTGAATGTGATTAACTACTACCAGCAATTCCAACTACTTAAAAATGGGAAAACTATCAGCCTAACATCAATGTACCCAAATACAGCAAATATTACTAAGCAGCAGCCCTCCTGTAGCCCACAGTCATTGCTGGACCATTGATAAATAAGCAGGGAGGCAGACTGGTTACCTTGCTCCAGTTTCCCATTGTCCATGATGCACAAGGCCGCAGATGGCAACGGCGTGCCGGAGCTGGTTTGGCACTGGTGTCACATGTGTTATTACCTTCTGCCATGCACATAACTGAGCGCCACATTGCACCAAGGCCACAGGAAGTGGAACACTAGAAAAAAAAAGAAACATGTGACATGTACATGTAGTACCTGCTAGACCTAGAGGGTAGGCCGCAATAAGAGGCAATCAGCAGTGTTGTAGTGCTCATAAGGGACATGCTGACAGGAGTATTCATTTAGAAGACACATTTTCTAGGACTGTAACCTTTATCCTATCTTAGTGAGTCACTGGCCTGGAAGATGCACAAGCGCATCTGGTCTCAGGACATCTGACATGCACATGCAAGGGTTAAGTGCTTGTTTTCATCTAGGTGCTAAAAGAAAAAAAACTTATACTCACCTGAATCTAGGAGCCAGCTTGCTCTTAGATTGGTCCCTGGTGCCCCTCTCCCCCTCTGCTCCAGCGGTCTCATCATCACGTTCTATAAACAGTGTATAGACGTGAGGATGCTGAGGAACATTCCAGTGCTGCAGTGTAAGAGGCTATGGCTCAGCAGTTCAGGTGACTATAACTCTTTTTTTTTTAGCACCTAGACAAAAACAAGCACTTAACCCTTGCAATGCGTGGGTAGCCCCGCTGCAAGGGTTAAGAACACGTGCCCGGAGTTCTTCTTTAAATCAGTCTGCAATAGCAGCAAACACACTGCTGTCATGACAGACTCCTTTTGAAATGTACTGAAAAAGTTACGTAAGATGTAGACAAGTGCAAAAACAGAAAACACATTTCCATATGTAAAACCGTAAAGCTGTTATTGGACACAAAAAGGTGACTATCGACTTTATTGTTAGAAAAACATAGTGAAGAGCAACATATACAGAAAAGATGGCCATACACCGGCATATCCAGTCACTCAGTTCCCCCAATGTCCTGATCCTTATCAGATTTGCCTACACATATTCCCCGGAATTCATAAAGAGTGTCATAGGCAATCATTGGAAACTTGTGTCTGCAACAAATGGCGCAACCTCCGACAGATTTATGCAGCTGTTGGTAAGGTGTTTATGAATCTGTTGCAGAATTGATTCAGACAGAATTTTTGCTGCGACTTAATACTTACACGTTTGACACAATGTACTCCAACATGGAAGAGCTCCAATCTACCTCCATTTGTCTTTGCGGATATGGCCCTATTTCTTAATGAATTTGTCGCAGCCATAGTGCCAGAATGTAAAAGTGTCACACTTTAGAACTACCTGAATTTGTCACACACATTGGAAATAGCAAGGAAAATGTCACAAGGCTTTCATGAATTCAGAGCAGGACTTTCTAATATGGCCATAGTGTCAGAAAACTGCCGCAAATGCTTTACTGATGCAAATCCAGGTCACTCACCCGCCAATGTAATGCCAAGTCAATAATTTTATTGACTGAGGTAGTGTAGCATCTTACCGCAACGTTTAGGAACCTGTGTGGTCCCTTCTTCGGGACCACAACGTTTGCCTGAAGAAGGGACCGCACAGGTTCCGAAACGTTGCACCCACCCTGCTTTTTTGGGGCTTTTTTCCGATCAGTGCGATGGGATACAGTATGTTTCAAAATGCTTTATTGAATCGCTCCCATTTGCCTGGTTCCTAATGTTGTTCCTAATGTTGTCTACTTTGACAATGGTAGCTGTCATGTAATGACTGCATATACTGATGTGGTTGTCAAATCATATCTACCATTTGAACTACCTAAGATTTGGCTGCTGACATTGAGACTGGTCAGCCACAGCAGTTCTTTTGCTCTATAAATGGGGCAAAACGTGTCTTATGTGGCTTGTATAGTTGCCTAATGTATAGGCAACCCACAACAAAAACAACAAATTAAAAAGCTGAAAATGAATCAGTTGCTAAACAATACAAACCAATTGTTTACCACTTTACTTCATTCAGGGTGTATTTACGTACCAATGCTTACTGATGCTTTAAAAAAAGCATGAACTTATATGACTTGAACAGAACAAGACAATAAAATTGCTTAAAATCCACATCCTCCACCACATGGTGATTCATGCAGAAATGTGCATTGTACTTCCAACCACAAGGAGGGAAACCTTGGATGACTTTAATAATGAAGCCAAGTCATAGCCCATTGGCACCCTGACGTTGCATTCCAAACTGATAAGAATGAATGTCTTTGTTTCCCTCTATTTCAGATATACAAGTTATTTTCATGGAGGCTGGCACAGCTTATGTGATGATAAAAATAAGCGATTAATCTTGGGCCAGTAGCACAGATCTTGCAATGGTTTTATCGCTGTTATGGCAGGTTTTTTATTTTTGTAAAACTCCATTATGTTTAAGTACATGTAACATTTTTCCATAGAAATTCCTGCTAAACTGGTGCTCTTACCTGTCAGGTTAGCTTGGGGATTTCGCTGTAGAGAACCGGAGTGAACCACCCTTGTGAACTGATATGCAGATGCACAGCTTTGACCAACGTACTATCCTCCTGATTTACTGCAGGAGCATAAAGGTTGTTACTGGGCCCCCTGGACATCCATCGGGCCCTAGGCTCCTGTCTAGGTTGCCTTTGGTTGATTAGCCTCAGAACTGTTCACATGAACAGTACATATGCCTCAGGGCAACAGAACACACTTCTAAACTTTAATTCCTTTTGACAACAGACTTAAGGGTTGATATTTTTCACTCCTTAGCATGTCATCTTCACAAAGCCTAGAGAGTACTCGCTGTTCTCACATCAAACTGATAACCTTACCCATCTTATGAAAGTTAGTACCGTGTTTGCCCGAAAGTAAGATCTACCCCGAAAATAAGACCTAGTTTGGTGGTACCGTAGCAATAGTTCCCTACCTGCTCCAGCTCTAGGACTTACCTCAGTCCAGTTTCCTACATTCCAGTGACTCCTCTGTAGATCGCCTCCCACAGGTGATAAGATGAAGCGATTACTAGATGTTGTATTTGAAGATTTCGTTTTGTCTTCACTTAGATGAGGATACATGCTTCCTTCATTATTAGGGTCTGGAATGTGCATCAAGACTGTAGTGAGGAATGGAACTGTGGGTGGGGATGGTGTGACGTAAGGGTTGCTAGAGGTCATACCATCAGAGCTTGCATGCAGAGTTGTTTTTACTGTAGAGATAATTTCTGCTGAATCTGTGGAAGATGGGGTAGACGAACTCCATGAAAAAACATCTAAAGAATATTTAGGCTTGCTTGGTAAGAAATCTGGAGAAAAATTATCTTGTAAACTGTTCTCCTTTTGAGGTGAAAATGTTTGGCTTGAAGTAGTTGCATATGCTGTTTGGTCTGGCCCTGGTTGTGAATCCTGTCCCAGATCTGATGGGATATAGCGTGCTGAATTTTGTAAATCTTTTGTATCTAGTTCAGAAGTAGATGAAGAATAATATGTTGAACTTTGTGTGGTTTCTGTCACTGAATGCTGGGAAGGAAAATGTGTTGATGACAATGATGTTATTGGTTCTAGGACTTGATGTTGGGTAACAGGCAGAGGTCCAGAGGAATATATAGGGGTTGTTGGAAAGACCTGTGATGAAGTGAAAAACAAACCAGTTGTTTCATGAGATTGGGTGGCAGTTGGTGTTAAGTAGTCCTCATTTTCGTTTTGTCCTTCGTGGATATGTGATATGGGGGTAGGTTGCTCCCCCTGACTATGTTTTATAGTTACAGCCGTTTCCCTGTTATTTGTAATGACATCATTCTGATCCTCTGATGAACTGCTGAAACTTACAGAGGTTTGCAAGGGACCAGTGGTGGTTAATCGATTATGTGGGCTTCCTGTGGAAAGGATGTCATTATTGCCTTTTCCCGAACTAGGTGTATGGACTGTATGGACTGGAATGTATTCCTGATCTACTTCTTCATCTTCTTTGATGTAAATATCTTCTACGGGGTCATAAGTTAAATCCTCATGAAAATTGATAAAGTTGTAATCATAATAAAAATCATCAACATAAGCTTTCCCTGCTTTGCCTTGACCATCACCATGATTAGTGAAGTCACCTTCTGAGATGGAATTGTCTTTCAGGGAATGCCGATTGCTAGGGGAAGCTCTTGGATGGCCTGGAAAGATTTCATTGACAATTTCTTTGCTAGAGCCTCCGCTTCCTGTCCAGTCAAATATGCTGAAGTCTGGTATGCAAGCCAGCATGGCACATACTTGCTTGGAAAGAGGACGTTCAGAAGGTTCACAGGAACCTCCTTCCAGGGCATTATCACAATATACATCTCGATGCTGGAACCCTTCTCCACAGGATACAGAGCACTAAGGGATAGAAGACACAACAGCTATGTGTTATACAAATCAAGAAAAAAAAAAATAAGAAAACTAGTGATTGTATACAATTATATAGTGGTCATTTCTAATTGATTAAAGTGCATGTCCATTCAAAACTGTCATTTGGATGTTCTGACACTGGCTAAATCACTGCTAACATGTGTAAACTTTGTTGGGTTCCCTAGTAAGCATCTCCAGGGGTCCTGGCTCCTAGCTTTGCTACACCTGCAGCTCACCTTTCTTAGCTTCCTACCCGGAAAATGATCACCCACTCCAAAATGATCACCCACTACAATATAGGAAATAATGTGGTCCAATGACCACATTATTTCATATGAAACCAAGCAAGGTATGCTAAAGTTGTAATGTTGGGTGGGGGATTAGGAGGGTCTTATCCAACGGCAGTCAAGTCATGTTTATTCATTATTATTCCATTGCAATTATATTTCTTATGGGTCTTATGAGCATAATCTATAGAGGTGGATACATTTTAAATAGTTGAATGTGGGTTGGGTGGGGGGTTATTAAAGCTCTACACTAAGATTGGAATTTAAGATTTCACTATAGCTTTACCTCATCCAAGAGACCCTGTGGAGCACAGCCATACTTTTTAGTAAAACATGTATATGTTCTCACACAAACATGCCATCCACCAGGAAACAAACAGGTGCTCATATATTATTTAAATAATTGAAATCAGTGGTTCTCAACCTGTGTAACCTCAGGACCCACATTTATCCTTCGTTATTAAGTCACGACCCAAGTCCCATTGCAATGAAATGCACGTTCCATTGCAGGCAATTGAACAGTAGGTGGGATGAATGAATGGCAACACACCTCCCACACCAGAACGCGTGGTAGGTGCAATTTCACGGTACAGTGTGTTAATCGCACAGAGCTGTGAGATTAACCCACTGTACCAGTGTGAACAGGCCCTCAAAAACAGTGACAGACACAAACAACCACATACACAATCTCACACACTCACAGGCGTTCTCACACACACACATACATCATTTCTTCGTTTCACGGTCGCACGCAATCTGTAAACTGGGCATGTTGGGTATCGTTTTACTCGTTGTAACCTCATCTTTTATATTTCATTTAAAAAATGGGTAATTTGTTGTGTTTTGGGGCATTTAATTAAATTTGTCACTAAATTTTGGGGTTTAATAAGGAGTTGCGCTAATATTGCGCAACATAAAAATTTTCAACTACCACCATTTTATTCTATAGGGTCTTGGCATTCAGAAAATATATAATGTTGGGGGGTTTTACGTCATTTTCAGGCCTAAAATGTGGAATATAACATGGGTGCAAAAATTGAAAAAAGGGCCTCAGTCATGAAGGGGTTAAAGATGTACCCAGTCTCCATACCCTACGTGAACTGGAGTGGATCCTCAGCCTGGGGTCCTGTGTGGGCTGCTGTGCTGTGACAGAGTTCCATCCACATGCGCATTGCTTGTACAGCTCCTTTGTGCTCCCTGTAGAGGTGCTGGGAGCCAGAATGTGACGTCACTCCAGTCCAGGCACCTCTACAAGACACGAGGGAGCTGTAAGCAATACACGTATAGATGGAGCTCTCTCACAGCCATACCCTCAGCGCACTCTATCTCAAACTGACAATTGGGAACGAGAACAGTGCTGCACTAGTTGGGGGCTGAGGAGCCTCTCATCTAGTGTAGTGTAAGGCATGCAGCGACCCACTGAACACAGGGTTGTGACCAACTTTTGGGTCGCAACCCACCAGTTGGGAACCACGAATCTAAATAATGAGATTCAGAAAGAGCAGATTTAGCATTAAAAGAGGTGATCCAAACTGGGGGGTGTTACTTCAGGCGCCAAAGGTTGTATGCCTGCAGGATACAGTGATGGAAATCCAACCCTAGAATCATGTGAAGCCAGTTCTCTAGTGGTGGGGGTTGGTTAGAGACAGGAGACATATGGGGCATACTCAAAAAAATGTATAATGGACTGATCTTTGGACTGATCTGACTGGAGTTATCAGTTGGCCTTCTATGGGTTACTGCATTTTGCACACTGTTATTTCACTTTGCAATGCCATACAGAGTGCAATCAAAGGTTTAAATCTCATCTCAGCCCCAATCATGGTGCACATACATGAATATTTCCTTTTTCCCTTATGGCAAAGCTCACCTGGCTCCAGTTCCCATGGTGCCAGAGGGCAGGGCAGGGCTCACGATGATTGCAAGAGATGCTGGATTCAGGTTTGGGGAGGTGTTCACAATCTGGGGGTTGTAGAGCTCGCTGCTCATCCAGTCCCACGCGCTGAATACATAGGACAGTTCTCTTCTGCACACCGCCAGAGCCACATGTGATGGAGCACTGCTGCCACTCTCCGACCCACCACCTGTGCATAACGCATTGTAGACTATTAGTGTGGGATATGAGATGAAAAGCTGCAATCTAATAATATATACTCAATACGCCAAAATAACAAGAAGGTAAGCAATATACATTAATACATCTGCAATTACAGTATCACATAACAAAACGTTAATTCAAACTTCAATAAGTGTGGTAATGGTAATGAGTTATTACACTTTTCTTATTGTTATTACACTTTTCTTATTGTTATTACACTTTTCTTATCGTTATTTCACTTTTCTCATTGTTATTCAAATTTTCTTATTGTTATTACACTTTTCTTATTGTTATTACACTTTTCTTATTGTTATTCTAATTTTCTCTTTCGTTATTGCACTTTTCTTTGCATTCATTCATGCTATTCTTTTATAAAGGTATAAATGGTCTCTCTCCCACTGACAGTTTGACAATCCCATGTTAAGAGTGACAAAGACACCCCAAAGCTGACCTCTCTCACAGCAAAAAGACTGATTGGAGATGTTAGGAGAGTTCTGATTGCTATTGTTGCTCTTTGTCTTAAGAGGCACTGGTAATGTCTGGCCAAATTCTTCCTTGTGTATATGAACGCTATGCAAACCAAGAGTTCATTGTTACTCACCCAGTACCTGAGTGCTTTGCTCACCAAGATCACCAAGGAAGAATAAACGGATCTTGTACAATATTTTATCTAATATCTTTAAATACGTATATAGTGTATATTTACCGCTTAACTTAACACATTGGTAATACTTTAAAGCTAGTTAAGTAATTTTCACAAATCTGCCACTCTGCACATTTAGGCATATGACACCCTTATTGCCTGGTTCAGTAATTCAGCTTCCTATGTTACCTCCCAGCCTACAGTTTTTTTTAATGGACAGTGAATCAGCATCACCTTTGTCAAGGTATAAGGGAGGCGATCTAGGAAGTAGTAAGGTTGAACCAGGAAGCAGAAAAGTGACCTTACAGGCTGTGCACTATGGCAGAGGTGTGGATATCACAAGCATGTATGGTATTGTTAGTAATAATACAAATACTTTGGCATGTAAAGTCATAACCATATAGCAGCCCCTGCACTTACACTGCCAGCAGCCAAATCTATTGGCAATGAAAGCGTCCCTTCCTGTGTCAAGATCTATCTCACAGATGATGTTGATGCCACAAATTATTTCCTCTTTTGAACAAGAATATGCATCCCGTTGTGTAGCAAAGTAATTTAAGGACAAAGTAAAAGATGAATATGGATTCTTTCTCACCTTGGAGGGCATGGCTCCTCATTGCAGCTTCGTTGTATGTCATCGGGCCGTGTCAGTGAATCGCAATATCTTTCTTCCACAAGACCAGCCACTTTTTCCACGCAATGCACCAGCTGCCTCTGAACCCCTAACACGGATATGACAGGTAAGTAGAAACATTGTGGCATTTGCACAACAATGCCAAGTCAGAGACCTGCATGTCTGACAAAAGACATATATAGCTGTCTATTGAATTATACGCATGCAAACTATGGTGAACTGAACATCTCTCCTCCTATTACATCAAGTGGCAGTGAGGCTGACTGAGAAATACGCAGGTATAAAGGGGAAGTCATTTGGGGTTTAGGAGCTCTGGAACAAGTAGTAACCTAAATGGGCTTGAAAATATCCTACCTTAGCAAGTCACAAGTAAACTGAGGTTAAGTAAGAGAATTGGATGGCTTTATAGAATAGGGGGTCTTTCAGTTCTCTTCTTAGTGCCCTGCCTCCTGGTTGAGGGGACAATTGGGACTAGATTTACACTTCTTACCCATCTAGGTACACTACTTTCTGCTGCCCCACTACTGTTCCAGACTGCCTAGCCTCAGTATGAGATGTCATAGCCACGCAAAGCTTGCCAGAGCAGGGGGCAAAGGCTGAAATAGACAATGAGGGCCCAGATGGATTGCACTTGTAGGCAAAATTACAGTAGAGCGGTTGCCACTATGAATACTAGTAAATGGGGGGAGCTCATTTGTAATATACACAGATTGCTTGCAGAGCACAGAGGCAGCCATTTCCAAGAGGTAATGAAGAGGAAAGTTAACAAAAAAAAATTATGTTTCTGTGTTCATGTACAGCAACTGCATATGCCTGCTTCATGTGAATTCGGTGTACATCGGTGACATGTTTTTTGTTTTAAATACCTCTGCAAAGGTAGAAATGGGCTTTAAAATTTCTGGGCAGTACTTCTACTGTGTACAAGGGTACTGTGGAACGCAGGTTAATGCATGTACAGAACATTTGTCATTCACTTAGCTCACCCTGTATCTGGAATGAACTGTGTACAAAGCAGGAGTATGGCCCTGATCTATTCTCTAAGCTTCTAAACTAGCCTTGATGCTCAGAAATCCTGAGACTTGCCAGGGGCTCTTTTATATAGTAGTGCTGTGATCTCACCTGTGCCACATGTGGCAGAGCACTCAGACCATGCCCCATATCTCCAAGAGAACTCTGGCGGTTGGACCTCATTGCTATCGTCTAGGTCTCTTCTAACGGTGTACTGGTACCGCACTCCGGGATTCTTCTCCTGGAACAGCAGCTAAATGCACAAACATCAGTCAGTTTTCTGTCAGAGTAGTCATTTTTTAAAACATATTTTTAGTTAAAGAAGAACTGCTCGTTTTGGTCTAGAGGAAAATAAACAAGTTATACCCGATCCTCGGAGTTGGCTTGCTCTTAGAACGAACCTTCCAGCCTCTCTCCCCCTCCACTGCATGGATCTAAGGTCCCTGAGTTATCACGTTCTATACACAGTGTATAGGATGTGAGGATGCTGAGAAACATACCATCACTGCAGCGGAGGGGGAGAGAGGCAAGAGGGAGCGCTGTCATAGCAAGCTGACTTCAAGGATCGGGTGAGTAAAACTTTATTCCCTCCCTAGACCAAAATGAGCACTTAACCCTTGCAGTGTGTGTGTGTGTGTGTGTGGGGGTGGG